GCACAGCGATGTCACTGTCTTGGCCCCTGCAGCATGAAGGGCACGGTGAAACCCTGCACTGAGAATCTTGTGCCGGAAACTGAGCAAGACCCAGGGGAATACCTTAGAAAAATCTTCCAAGTATCTGAGGAATGGAAAGAAAGATGAATGATAGTTTTGGGGAAAGTGCAAGGAGGGTGTTTAGAAAGGAAATATGAACCCATTTTAGATGTTTCTCACAGTACACTGTTGAAGCTCTGGGGACCAGCAGCTCCTAAAAATGGTGCAGTTTGAGTTCCTGCGTCTCAAGAAGCACATTGGAAAAGCAGGCAACGCGGTCAGGAGAGTGGGATTGTTTTAGGGACAGGAAGTAGGTTCACTCTATTCTGAAAAGAGGCCAGATGAGTTGACTTTAAGAGAAATAAGAGGTAATGCTTCCAGGAAGTAGATTAACTACTTTAGAAAATAGAAATAGAGTCATGTATTTAGGCAGAAATAAGTAAACGAATGAATGTGTTTCCCACAAAACCTGTATATGTGCTTCCAGGTATAACTTGAGTTGATCCAGTACTGTAAAAGAGAGGACTCACGGGGCGCCCGAGTGGCTCAGTCGGTTAAGCATCGGACGCTGGGTTTTGGCTCAGGTCATGACCTCAGGGTCAGGGGATCGAGCCCCACGTCGGGCTCCGCGCGGAACAATGGGGCCTGCTTGAGATTCTCTCTCTCCCTCTGCCCCTCCACACCTTCTCTCTCTAAAAGACAAAATACATAAAATAAAAATAAAAAAGATAAAAATTTTTAAAAAAAGAAACGTGTTAAGGCTTTGTGATATAACCATTACAGGGAGTGGTTTCTTTACTTTTTTGGGATTTTTAAAGGCAGACAGGACTGATTCTCATAACTGGGGTGTCACCGGAGGTGTGTTGTTGCCGTAGTGTCTGAGCAGCAGGAGAGAGCATTCACGCTGGGACTAGCAGGACTTCTTGGCGAGGGAGTTTTTAACTTTGGAGAACTCGTAAGTGGACCCTGGGCACAGATTTCTGAACAAGGGGGAGACATTTTTTTTGCCAGCTAACCATCTCCTCCTTGCAGCTCATGCACCCCGTGCTGGAATCACTGAGGAGCACCGACCGGCAGTGGCTGATTGACACCCTTTACGCGTTTAACAGTGGCAACGTAGAGAGATTCCAGACGCTGAAGACCGCCTGGGGCCAGCAGGTCAGTCATGGGAAGGACGGCTGAGCGCTCCTACAGTGCCCCTGGCTCTCTGTCATCCTGCATCTGTTCATTGATTTAACACATGTTTTCTGTGCACCTTCCCTCTACATCCCAGGCACTGGGGAGATAGGAGATAAAGACAGGCCAGTCTTGCTCTCATAGAGCAGGTGGTTAAGTGGCTAGTTACAGTAGTAATTCAGTTACTATGATAGTGCTCAGTGCTACTAACAGAATATGATAGGGGCGTGTCATCTGGGTGACGGGTGTCACAGAGGACCCAAAAGGAGTAATGCTCTGTGTCTGCTCTTAGGTGTGAGTAGAATTTAACCAAGTGAAGGATATGAGAAGAGTATATTCAACAGGGGAGAGGAAGCTTTTAGCATGTTGCTGAACTGAAATAGGGTCTGTGAGGCCAGAGTGAGTGAGTGACGAGAGCCGGGGAGAGCCTGGGGTTCGGGAAGGCAGGACAGTCTGTACAGGAAGGGAGTGGTCAGTGTGGGGGGCGGGGGGGGGATGATCAGTGTAGAGGGAAAGGGGTCAGCAGGGGAGAGGGCACTGGGCTAGGAGAGGAGCCTCTAGGAGGTGTGAATTAGGGAGAACAGGTGTTAACGAGGACCTGAGCTTTCATAGTAAGTTTATTTTTTAAATGAAATTATTAGAAGCAAATATTACTAAATTGTTCATAGTGATAGGGATTATTGTTTTTGTACTTTTCAAAATAAACTTGTAGAATTCACACATAATGGAACCAAGTAGATGTAAATGGGCTGTGAAGAGGCAGAAAACAAGACCAGCCAACCCTAACTATAGTCTGTGTGTTGATCTCTGAAAGAAACAAATGTGCCACTTGGAAAGAAAGTTGGCTAGCTGTAGAAACATAAGGAAAGAAAGAACATCAGAGGTGCCTTGCCAGCAGTATCTGTCTAAGCAGCGAGAGCCCATTTGGGGGGAGTGGGCTCTTTGTGAAGAGTTTGACCTGTCCCATACCTGTGGCAGAAATGTCCCTGGGGGACTGGCTGTGTTGGGGTATGAGTTCCTAAATGTTTGAATCAGGGAACCCATTCTCCCTTTTTGTCTCTGCTCAGCAGTAACCCATGACCTACCTGCAAGGCGACTGTGCAGGTCATGTTCTGGTTCTCACAACAGTGCTGTTTTTCATCACAAGTTAATAACTTGCTCTTTCAGTTCAGAACAACTCCCTGGGACTTAAGGAATGTGTTCCTCAGAGGCCCCACTTACACGGAGCTGACCAAGCAGGCAGTGCACTTGGACCTGCTCAGGCACAGACGGGTCCTTCCTTGCCTTTCTTTGTGCCAAGAGTCTCCTTGAAACGCCTGCACCTGGGTCCTACCCCCTGGTGTCTGTGACATTAGTATGCATCTCACCTGGTAAATGCCTTATGTGGGAGCATAGCCTTTTGGGGATGCACCAGTTAATAGTGTCCTAAGAAAAGTGAGCCTCTGTGACCCTACGGTGTAAGGTGTTTGGACGTGCCAAGTTTCTTTTTGTTGGATCTGTTGTAGAAAGAATTTCAAAGCCCAGGTTAGGTAACTAGTATCTTTCTACTTTTCAGCCTGATTTAGCAGCCAACGAAGCCCAGCTTCTGAGGAAAATTCAGTTGTTGTGCCTCATGGAGGTAAGCAAGCACCCAGGAACCACTCTGATTTCAGACCCTGCAGGTGAGCCCATGAGGTCCTGCCAACTCTCCAAGCCTCCTGTAGGGATACTTTGGCCACACCCCCTCTCTACCACCTTCCTTTTTCTTCTGCCACCATTGGCTTTTTTCAGTTTGTATTTGAGTCTCATCTTAGATAATGCCTCCTCAGAGAGGTATTTCTTGACCGTCTGAGCTAAAGTAGCTGCCACCTCATTATATGTGCCCTTTGACATATGCTCTTCTGTGTTTCCCGACTAGAATTTAAGCTTCTTGAGGAAATGGACCTTACATTTCTGGGCCACCACGCTGTTCCCAGCTCAAGTACAGCCCTGGCACACAGCAGCCTCAAGCACTTGCTTGGGGCATGAATACTGACCATTGCCAACAACTGCTGTGAAGCTTATTTCACCTTATTATCTGAGCATGGGAAGCTTGTTCCTAATAAGATACATGGCTAATGTTAAGGAAAAGTTTAGTATGTGGGATAGTAATAAGATCTGTATTTTCAGAGCAAGAATTGACAAAAACATTCTATCAGTCAGTTCTCTGACAATTTTTATTTGGAAAAATAGTTAACAAAAAATTTTTTTTCAGATGACTTTCACACGACCTGCCAATCACAGACAACTCACTTTTGAAGAAATTGCCAAAAGTGCTAAAATCACTGTGAACGAGGTACAGTTGTTGGACTCAGGATGGTCCAGTGGTAGAGCTGCCACCCAGAGGGGTTGGAGCTCCTATAAGCACTGCTCCCCAGACTCCAAACCACAGAAGACACTGTCTCATTCCCCCAAACTTTAGGGCCTTGGGGTGACTCACATCAGCCCCTCTTTGAGCAGGTGGAGTTGCTGGTGATGAAGGCGCTTTCGGTGGGTCTGGTGAAAGGCAGCATTGACGAGGTGGATAAGCGAGTGCACATGACCTGGGTGCAGCCCCGAGTGTTGGATCTGCAGCAGGTAACACATAGTTCACTTCTGTGGGTGGTTCGGATGGTATCTGTGCTTAGTTTCGCTTGGATGGAAGCCATTTAGGAAGAAAGCAGTATTGACGAGAGATTTCGGAGAATATTTTACTGCTGTGGGGACTAAGGGTTTTTTAAAGAACCTAATTTAATACAAGCCTGGGGTTTGAACCTTGCATTTAAAAGCTTATCATAATTACAATGCTGGTTGTCCTGACGATGCCTTTTAATCTTAAAATTGGTACTCTGATCAAATATGTTCCTAGTTCTGTGGTTTGAGCTCAGATCCATCTTGTCCATATTTGCTGGAAATTTAATCCTGTGGATTTCCTCTATTCTTACCTGTTTTCTTTCATGCAAGTTTTTTGTAAATGTCCTTGCGATAAGAATTGACTGGGATGATCCCCTTTCACACAGTCCACTCCCCCAGCTCTGGTGTCCTTTTTATTAGTGCTGCCCTAAAGAATTAGCTGGAGATGTACACCTGGGATTCCCAAGTGTCCTAACACCCGTGTGGTCCTGGTTTGCCTCAGATCAAGGGAATGAAGGACCGCCTGGAGTTCTGGTGCACCGATGTGAGGAGCATGGAGATGCTGGTGGAGCACCAGGCCCACGATATCCTCACCTAGTGCCCCCCGCCTCACCCATTTGTGGCAGCTGAGAAGATCTGCATTTAATTGGGGATGGGGGGTGGGATTCTGTTTGTGGAGTAGGGACTGTTCTTCCTGCTGTGAAAACAGGACTATCACTGATAGGGGGCTTGGCCGCAGAGAGAAACCTCCTTTGTGGGTGTCTCCCGTAGCCCACAGTGGGGAGGGGTCACAGGTCTCTGGTGACGAGGCGGGCAAGGGTGTGCATGTGCCCTGAGGAATGAGAAGGAGTAGCCCTGAAGTGTGTGGGGACACCACTTGGAGGCTCGTCTCCATTACATCCACCTGTGTGAACAGCTCTGGTGTCATATGAGAATGTTCCTATAATAAACACCTTTGTTTTGTCCTTTTTGTGGTCCTGTTTCCTTAGTCTTAGCTTCCAGGTCAAGCCTGGGCCTAAGAGATTAGAAGGCAGGAGATGGGAGGTAGGGCTTGGTGGGGGTTTGGCCTCAGCCCTCCTTTCCTACCCTGGGAAAAGGGCAGCCCTGCACATACAGGGCATGGGGCCAAGGAAGCAAGTCTTATCTGTTGTGGCTCAGACATGGTGTCCACCCACTACCACCCAGCCAGGGCCATCTGGGGCCCCGGTGCCCCAGCCAGCAGCCCTCAGCCCAGTGCCGAGTGTCCGGGGTGGGGGAGGTGCTTGTACACAAACGACACAACCACCAAGTGAACACTGGGTGGAGGGAGGGGTTTAATGGGGCCATTGGCCCTGTGCCTGGAGCCCGAGCTGCGGAGCCTTCATGCTGCAGAGCTTCTCTTGTAGCTGTCCAGGTGGGCTAAGACCCAGCCTGCAGGAATCAGGAAGCTGAGGAACAGCACAGAGAGCCCAGTGGCTTGCTCCTGGGTTGAGGAAAGCACATGTGAGTCCACCAGACCATCACCAGGTCATTCCTGGCTCACTGAGGAAGGCTGTCTACCTGCCCCTCTGTCCCCTGGTCCTGCGGCATGGGAGGCCTTCTAACCAGAGCAGCAGTCCAGAGTTAGAGACATCCTGCCCTGCCCCCTCTGCTCTTGTGGGACCTTCAGCCCAGCCCCAGACTTCTTTTCTGTCAGGTGGGAAGAGCCTGCAATGCACGAGCAGGGGCTACTGTAGTCATCAGTGTGGACAGCCTCTGCAGAGACTCAGACTAGCAGCCCTGGGCCCCAGTCTCTGTGGAACAGGACCTCTTATCATAGCCTGGGCAGGCCACGTGTCCCTCGACCTTGAACTCCTGACCAGACGCAACATGTGCCCTCCCTTCCAGATACTGGCAGACGTGTGTCAGGTGCTGTGCAGGACAGAAGAGACAGCTGAGATTCGGGTCCCACAAACGAGGGCAGGGCCTTTTCCCTAAATGGCGGTCCTGCTCAGAAGCCTGGCTGGAGGAAATAGGACTCCCCATACTGCGTGTGCATTTGTGTGCACGCACACACAAAGCACACGAAGGCCATCTCACCTGGAGCCAGGTTCCAAAGAACCAGCTATACATCCCCTTCACTCGGATTCCTCCTGAAACAGAGCCCCGGGCCCAATCATCCCTCCCTGTTCCCTAAAACAGAGTCCAATGCCGGGTCGGAAACCAATTCTTCCTCTTGACTTGGCCTTCCCGCAGATTCGGAGCAACGTTGCCCAGAACTGGGCCCCTAGGCTGGGTTCAAATCTTAGCTTCACTGGTGATATGACCTTGAACAAATGACCTTCTAGACCTTGGTTATTGATGCTTAACACAGAGGTAGTTGTCTGCTCTCCTGGAGTGTGAGGGTGACTGAGGTCTGTGTTTTTGCCTGTGCTGTCACGGACCCTCAAAGCAGCCCATTCTTTTCCCTTCAATGAGCGGTGAAGCTGGAATATACACTGAGTGCCCTTCGGCGAAGCTGGAATATACACGGAGTGCCCTTCAAGCTCAGCTGTTAGCACCCCTCATTTGCCAGAAGGCAAGTGGGGGCCTGAAAACAGAGAGACCACCATCCCCTCACTGACTCTGCTGGATGCTTTGGGAGCCTGACCTCCAGGCAATGGATGCAAGGACCTCTTTCCTGGAGGAGGGACAGTGTCCCAGCCATAGGACTGCATTCTTGCACGAGGATCACCTCTAGAGGCTGCAGGCCTGAGAATATATTCCTCCCCCCCTTTACCAGCCTGGCCTTCTGTATGCTGCCCCCAAACCCACCTCATCTTCTGCACTCTGCAGGACTGCCCACTCCCCCTGCTTAAGTCAGCACTCCTGCGGCACCAGAGGTACTCACCATGGGAGAAGTGGGCGTCCGGGCTGGCTTGGCAGAGATGTGCACCTTGGGAACCACCCAGCCCCTCAGAGGGGCCTGCAGCAGCCTGGTGGTACAGGCTAATCTCAGCATGGTAGTTGAGCCGAGCTCCTCCTGGAGTCCAGCAAAGTTCATGTATCTGCTCACTCGGGTGTTGGGGCTTTTTATAGCTCAAGGAAGGGAGCTGCAGCTGTCCCCTCTTGTCATGGTGCTTGGCAGAGAGGACGCCCGCTTGGAAGTGGGTGAGAGACAGCCTCTGGCCAGCAGCCTCCAGGCACTGTCCCTGCTGTAGCACCCGAGGGCCTTCGAGCCCTTCGCAGTGCAGGCAGGCTTGGCCCTCTCTTCAAAGGGCCTTCATTTCTCTGTGAAAAATGCACTCAACAAAGAAGCAGTACCAGAGGAGTCAGAGAGTTTGATGCAAGAGGGGGAAAGTGACCTAAGTTAAGAGTGAATCTTAAGTATCTGGAGTGTCAGCTGGCGGTGCCGTGTAGAGCTATTTTAAAATTCTCTAACTTAGGAATTCCTGGCTGAGCTGCCCAGCCTTCTGATTCTTAACACCCAGCTGGGTGTTCTCAGAGCCCCGCTCCTCCCAGGCACAGCACGTGGTGAGTCTGAACAGCCTCCCTGCTGATTTCAGCGGTGCTGTTGCTAACACTGACACGACAGCCTTAGTTCCCAGAGGAGACCCTCACGATTGCACCGTGGACAAACTGAGGTGGGGAGAAGGTCAGCAGACACTTTGTGAGTGCAAGTTCAGGGGCCAGGGGGCACGCAGGCCCCTGCCTCTGGGCCCACATTCGGGTAAAGGCTCCCAGGGCCAAATGTGCTGGGTCCACGGTACCCACCAGCCCTGGGGCAATCGGCCTGTAACCTGCCCACATGCCATGTGTGAGCTCAGAGCCTCCCTGCCTCTCTTCTCTTATTTCTACAGAAAATGAGTTACTCATTTCTTCCCACAGCAAACATCTACTAGTAAATTTGTTTTCCTGCTCTCTGAGAGACTATTTCACACCTTCTCTCTGTACCAGCAACCCCCTACACATACACACACACCTTCATCAGAGACCTGCTGCTGATTTCCTTGAGATAATGGAAGTGACCAGATGTGACCCACTGTCGACCCCAGTTACTGTCCTCCAGGAGAGCAGCGACCCTGAGCCCCTGGGGTGAGTCAGATGCCAAGCTCAAGTCCCCAGCAGCTTCTCCAGCCCCTCTGTCCTTGGTTACTGGATGACGAGCCCCTGGTCTTCTTTCCAGCTTGTCCAGATCCTGCCTGACCCCTGACAGCCCCAGGACTTTTGCAATCTCTCCATCCACCTTCTCCAGACCTCATTTGGCCGTGACAGCCCAGCTGCTTATCAATCATGATTATTTAGGATGTACTGATGCTGACCCTTATCCCCACCTTTGGTGGAGTTCCCAGGGCCCTGCAGTGTGTCCCCCTGCTCTTCCCCTTCCCAGCTGCTCAGGTCAAATGTCTGAGCAACACCCTCTGGTGCTCACGCTCCACACCAGGTCACCAACAGCGCCACACCCCACCAAGCCAATTCCCCACCCTCACCCAGTCCAACCTTGAACGTGTCCTCTGAGACTGCCCCACCCAGTAGCCAGGACAGCCCTTGGAGAACAACCAGCTCCTACCACTGAGGCTGTTCAGCCTCCTCCACAGGCTCGGCCCACCTCCCTCCCTTGGCTTCCCAGGCCTGAATGGTCTAACCTTGCCCTCACCTGCTCCCTACCCCTAATGCCAGCCCCCTGCCTCGTTCCAGACGCACCTCACTTCCCCCCACACACACTGGTGCCTTTGCCTGGACAGCCTTTGCCTCGTGTTTTCAAATCATTCAGGTCCTGTTCCAATGACCTCTCCCCAGACATACCTTACTGACGGTCCGCTTTCATGGCTGGAATATAAGCCCCATGAGGGCACGGACTTTGTTGGGTTCATCACAGAACTGTTGGCACCTGGCAGATTTTCAGTCCGTGTTGGAAGGGTGGATGGGGAGGGAAAGAAGGAGAGTTGGGCGGGGGGTGGCTGACTGGCTGGGGTTGGAAGGACAAATATAGTTTCCATCCCATGGCCCGCACTGGCTTGGCTTGAGGAGTGCACAGTTGAGTCAGACGAGAAGGAATACGGCAGGGTTTCATTCTACTGTCAGAATGACCTAGATTACTGTGCACAGCGATAAAGTTCACAGCTCAGAGTGCACCCTTTAGCTGTCTCCGACCTGATCAGCGTGGGTGCAGGCCAGTAGCTGAGGAGCAGCAGGGCACCTGACCCCAGACTCAGCCATGGTCACCATCCTCACAGGGTATGATCACGCCCCAGTCCGTCTGTTTAGAACCGGTGAGTTGATGATCTGAATACATTGCACGGGAAACGTGATTTTACATTTGTTCTTCCCTGGAAACCACACTTGTTCTAAATGTGAGGCTCATTTCTGGGCTTCCCACCCCGCCTCCCACTGTCTTCCTTCGTCTTGGTTTTCCAGAGAGGAGGCAAGCCGTCAGAAGCTGGAGGAGGGAGTGTGCCCTGAATGTTATCTCCAGCAATGCTAAGTCCCAAGTCCCGATGCCAGCCTCAGGCCGTGGGAGGCTCTGCCCCTCCTCTAGAGTAATCCCTTCTGCCTAAACCTTTAATTATAGCTTTGGGGTCCAGTCAGGAATAAGACTGTGGGTCAGACGATCAATCGTGCAGCCTACAGTGTTTCTTTTTTCACAGAAAAGACCTACTGTCCCCAACCACCCAGGCCTGGTTCTAAGGAAGGCCTTCTCCACCCTTCCCAGCTTGGGGGCGGCTACTAGATGGAAGATGCCTTGGTAAGGGCCGGACAGGGGGGCTGGGGACTGCGGTCCGAGGAAGAGAAATGTCCCAGGCCTCTCCCTCAAACTTCTATGCTACACCAGCTTTTGCTTTCAACCCCTTCTCATCCATTCCCACAGGCCTAACCTTTCCAACTTTTCTGAGCACAAACCGACCCTCCTTGTTTCTGTGCTCACATAGCTTCCGGGGGCTCTACCACCCAGTGGTGAGCTTCAGACTTCAACCGGACTGAGTTTTTAGTCCCCAGAACCACTTGTTCAAACCAAACCCTACGCAGATCCCTGATGCCTCCAGCACACACAGATGGCATGGCCTCTCCCTTCATTGCTCTGAGGCCACACTAAGCCTCCACGGACCACTGCTCTGTGTCCTGGACTATTCTCCTCTTCCACCCGGAAGGAAAATGAGATGACCCAGGGAGAAAGGAGTGGTGGCCAAGTGCGGGGGGCAGGGGGGCAGGCATCACAATGAACAAGAAAGTGAAAGGCTCTGAGGGGTGCAGGGCCAGATGAGTCCCCTGTAACAGCAGGAGAAACCAAGGCTTGGAGAGGGAGCAGGGCCCAGGGATCAGGGTCAGCCAGGCCTGTTCCGGCCTATTCTGGACAGGAGTGGCTTCAGGAAGAGCTCCTGAGGGCTCTGGAAGACAGAAGTACCCCTGTCACCTGGATCTTCACCATCATCTCCTTCGTCCACCCACACCCAGCACATACCTATCTCTGCCCTTGACCTGTCCCTACTGCTCCTGGGCGTTGGGGTAGAAGAGACCAGCCACCTGCACACATCCTCCCACTCAAAGCTGCCAGGCCACCTGGAAGGTCTGGGGTGACACTGTGGGCCCAGGGCACCACCCTGTGTCCGTACTTGGAACCACAGAAACTGCTGGAGAAAGCAGAGAGGCACTGACAGCGAGGCACAGGTTCTCAGCATCAGGGACCCAGAAAAAATGCACATGCAGGCAAACATTTGCATGTTATTTATTTTAAGATTGTATTTATTTATGTATTTATTTTAGAGACAGAGACAGAGCACAAGCAGAGGGAGGGGCAGAGGGAGAGAGACAAGCAGACTCCACATTGAGTGCAGAGACTGACGCGGGACTGGATCCCACGACCCCGAGATCATGGCCTGAGCTGAAATCAGGAGTTGGATGCTCAACTGACTAAGCCACCCAGGCGCCCCAAACATTTGCATATCATTTTTATTGCAAATCTATTTCATCACATAAAGTATTGGACCAGCAGCATCAGTATCACCTGGAAACTTGTTAGAAATCAATTAGAAACTCTGTGGCAGTCCCGGTCCACTGTCACAATAGCCCTCCTAAGGAACTGTGATGCAGAGACATGTTTAAGAACCATTTCTAGTCATATAAAAATGGATGCTTCCTGCTATTTCATTCAAAACTAAATGTCCACTTCCAGAAAGATCCAACTCTCACCCAGACCACAACACTCAGCCTCTTCCTCTTACCTACAAAGACACACTTCCACTAAGTGTTTCTTATGTGTAGCAGCATTTACTGAAAACTCAGAGCTCGTGGGTAGAGATCGCATGGAGGGGCCAGTTGCCCCCTCCTCGGCCCACCTCTGCACTCTGCTGCCCTGAAGCCCTGCTCTCAAAGAGGCCCTTCCCATGTGGGACATGCCCAAGACACTCTGGTGCCACTCCACAGTCAGCAATTCACAACCTGGACCGTTCTTTGGTGTGATAGCTAATTTCATGTGTCAGCTCAGCAGGGCTGTTGGGCCCAGATATTGGGTCAAACATTCTGGATGTTCCTGTGAAGGTGATCTTTGGACAAGATTAATATTTAAATGGGTGGACTCTGAGTAAAGCAGATTACCCTCCACCATGTAGGTGGGCCTCATTCAATCAGTTGAAGTCCTTAACAGAGCAAAGACTGACTTCCCCAGAGCAAGAAGGAATATTCTGCCAGCAGATGGCCTTTGGACTCAAGCCACATCAGCTGCTCTCTGGACCTCCAGACTGCTGGCCCACCCTGCACATTTTGGACTCACCAAGTCTGCACAATCACATGAGCCAATTCCTTAGAGTAACCTCCCAACCCCTGCCCCATCTCCACCCGCCCCCACACACATCCTGTTGATCCTGATTCTCTGGTAGAACCCTGACAAATACAGTCACCAAAGTCCCAGAAAAGAAGTCCTTTGGCTGCTTTGTCCTTTCACCTTTGGCAATGAAAATAAAACTTTATTACACTTTCTTTTCTTTAATACGTAACATATTAAATGATGCCTAATGTAACCCAGACATGTCATTGGTCATAATAGCAGGAACATTTCACACCACTGTTA